GCCCCCTAGCAACTGACGAGGTAGCGAACTATTTTCCTTTATTTTAAGGAAAGATAGTTTCCCAGGCGAAGTATCGAAGCCTGATTGATCACTTCAAGAGTTATGAGGGTGGCCTTTAAAGTCACTCAGCAATAATGGCAGAATTATCATCCATCTATAGTAATGATAAGCAGTGGCTAGCAGCAGAATCCGGAATGCGCAGTTCGTCCTATTTGGGACTCGTCAGCTAAATGTACCTGCCTCCCAGTGGGTGATTTTGTTCCCACCGGGACTCGCACTCGGGAGCTAACGCTTCAAACGTGAGAGCGTTATCGACTACACCACCGAGCCACGATCTACATATATATATATATATTCGGGAAAATACTGTTGCCTATCTTGCCTTACCTTGGCAATTTTAATCTCCACTGTTTGTAAGTACGTGATTTCATGAACTAATGGCCCTGAGTTTTTTGTTTTACCTCTCGATCTGTTTGAAAAACTACTCTCCCTGTGAGTTGTATTCATCTTACTGCTCAATATAATGAAAACTTGTTGAACTTTCAGTACGCTTACTTAATCATAACGTCCTTTTCTACAACCCTCCCCCTTCCTTTATGTATACATAATTTTTTCCTATCTTCTCAAGAGTGTTCATTACACCACTGTATAAATATGAACAATGCAAGAACAAAGACATTTGCAGAATAAAATGGGCTCATATTATTTCACGGCCTTTCATCAGCTGCAAACAATTTACAATTGGAACGAATCATTAGTAATAATAATAACATAACATGCAAAAATAAACGGAGATTTGAAATCCAGGATTAACAATAATTTAATAATGCTATTGATGGACCGTGTCTGGCTGTGGAGTCCAGGATGCGCATTTCGTCCTATTAAGGACTTGTCAGCGGGGTATGCCTGCCTCCCAGTGAGTGATGTTGTTCCAACCGAGACCAGTCAATTCGGTCCAATCAGCGACAGCATGATATAAAAACAAAACAAGGCAATAAGTCAAGGAAACACAGGATTATTAGTTACATATCTTAGCTAAAATCCGGCTATTCATATCTGATGAAATAGTGAAATTCTGGAGCTGTGGAGTGGGGGACAACAAACGAATATCAGTGTAAAAGAAAAGACTGTTTAAGGGCTAATAAGTTACTCATTATACAAAAACTTGAAAATCGTTAAGTGATTAGTATTCGGTACGTAATTAATGAAGAGTTGAAGCAATCAAAAGAAAAAGGAAGACTGTATACACACATGAAAAAAATTATATACATTTATGAAGGTAAAGACAGGTTAGTTACAGCCTTCTTCTGAGTACATAGGTCAGGTTAAAAAAGTTTGATAGCGACAGCTTCCATAAACCGTAATAAACATGGTGTTCTTTGTTTGTTGATTATCCTGAAAGATTGAGAAACGCCTATTTGATATCCTGTTTCTATCAGATGCCTGGTGATTGCGCTTTTAAATACCTTTCTACCATTCAGACACAGATTTCTCAGAATATGCTCAGTCCTACATATTTTGCTCCCATAAGCATTGGTGAATTGATATACGCAGTTGGAGGTGATGTGAGAATGGGTATTTGTCCACTTTCAACAGTGTTATTGACCATAATGTATTGTAAACTGGGATCAGTCTGGTAGCAGAGAAGCTCATTCTCGGTGCAGCTTTTATTCTTCTGTCTACTCTCTCAGATGTCTCATCACCTTTGTATACAGGGTGAAGTAAAACAAATATCTCAATAGTTAGATATTTTGGTCTCTCAATAGGTCCTTTTCCATGCTTCATGATGAATTTCTTCGGATATTCATTCTCTACAACAGCCTTCTCAATTATCCTGAATTCTTCTTCGTGTTTAACTTTAGAGCACAGCCTTTTTATTGTAGTGAATAGGGTTCTGACTGGACCATGCTTATGGCTAACAGAACAGAAGATATTGTAGTGAAAGTACTGAGGAATCCACGTGTCTTCTTTTTGTGGATAGTTTTCTCAACTGTACCATGACATCTCCGTCTTATACTTAGATCCAAAAATTGAACCTGTCCTCATTTTCATATTCCATTATAGAGTATGATGTAATATTTCATGCAATGTTATTTAACGGTTCTTTAAACATTAAAGAAAGGCAAATCTATCGAAAAAGTGAGGTATAGCAAAGGATGTTTTGATGATGATAACTTTAGGTAATGATCCCACCAGAAATGTTCACATAAAGCTTCTACATATATTATAAAGCTTTTTACTTTGTTTGTGAAAATTATTTTGATGAAAATATTTAAACTTTGATTATACTACGTGATGATTTATGCAAAAAAAAAGTGTTTATTTTAGCAAACGAAAAATTTCACATAGCTTTGTTGATGCTAACATGTCATAGTGAATCAAAAATGTATCTAAGATGTCAAAAGAATTCTACAAATATTCTCACCTAACTATGCCTAGTTAGCTATGACAGACTAAAATATATGGTTTTTTTAAAATGTTTAAAAGTAGCCAGTTACTATAAACATCAGAATATTATACAGTAAACAAAATGTCATTACTCTGTTTATGGTTTGATGCATATTAAAAGTGAAAAGTGTAATTAAATGATTTTTGAGTTGGATAATTTCTTTTCTATTTTGATTTTGAGGGAGTTGTGGAGATTTGGAAATATTTCAGGTTGTTATTCATCGTATATTGATATTAGTTGGAGGAACAAACGAAACCTAGAAGCATTGGACAGCTGTTTCGTCACACTTGTTATGGGACTTCTCACCAGTGCACACCCACTATCCCAACAGGGATTGAACCCACGATCTTCAGGTTCCGTGGCTATCACGTTACCATTGAGCCACTGGGTCAGAATCCAGTGGTCTGTATTTCCAAATTCTGTTAGCTTACGATATAGTGCAACCACTACCCATCGTCATCGTTCAGTAACTATCCTCATGATCATCAGGCTTTGCTCACACCGGTCACAACTTCTCATTGGAACTTCGAGAATACCTCTTGAAGCTAGTCACCAATGAGCACTAGTTCATACGAATTTGGAGGGAGTTGTGGAGATTTGAAAATATTTCAAGTTGTTATTCATCGTAGACTGAAATCAGTTTTTTGATTTCACTATTTACTTGTATATACGCATATATTAGTGAAAAAAAATTGGATATTGTTAACAATTAATCAAACTGGTTTACTCGATGATTAGTTATAATCCATTTCATTAAGGATTGATTTCAAGATACTATGTGATAGAAGTGGACAAGAAGTATTTCACTTTCAATTTTACTATGCATTAATTAGATATGAAATCAGAATACGGATGATAATGACGATGATTCAGATATCTGCTTAAGCAATCTCATGAACAAGACAGCACATATGAATGAAAATAGATCTTGTTAAGAAATGGCCTAGATTACAATAATGTACAGAGTGAGGCTGCAAAACTACACATCATCATTGAACAGAGTATAGAATGTAATTCAACTCCCTACCTCGATTTCATCGGTTTTTGGAAAGGTCTTTGACAGCGTCGACCGAGAAGTAATTTGCCAGGCAGCTGTTTCAATACTACGCAGTGCCACTAGTCTTTAGCAACCGCATTCAACAACTAGATGAAAACACCACATGCCAAGTGATCCACAATGCGAAGCTCGGTGACGACTTTGAAGTGAAGACAGGAAGGAGTAAGACAAGGCTACCTATTATCACCAATAAGCTTCCTGATTGTGGTGGACTGCATCATGCAGTGAACCGTGAGGAACGAGAAGAGGGGCATACACTACACTGGCTACACTGATGGAAAGACTAGAGAAGAAGATTTAGATTCCACCGATGATGATTTGTGTCTAATGTGTTGTTGCACAAAATCGAAGATACACAGGCGAAAACTAACAAGTTGACAGGAGAGACGAGGCAGCGAATGAAGACGGGACTTCAAGTGAACGTAGAGAAGATAGAGGTAGAGGTGATGAAGATACCCACCAACAACAGCATCAACAACAGGAGGCATCAATCATCATCAACGGGAGACACTTAAAGGAAGTAGTCTCTCTCACCTACCTACCTGCCTAAGCAACATTGTTTCAAGTACTGGTGGCGGCACAAGCACAGATGAGGATGTGAAAGTAGCCAGGATCAGAAACACAGAAAGACGAGTTTTCATTAATCTGAAATAATCAGTGTGGAGATCTACTGCACTCAGCACAAAGTGTGAACAACATACGTATTTTCAACACTAACTCAGTCAAGTCAGAGCTTCTATGTGGCGGTTGAGAGACGGCGTATCACGATAAACACTTCCAACAAACTACATGTATTCACCAACAGCTGCCGCCTACGCTTGCTCAATACTGACACTGAGGATCAGATGGCCAGGATGATCAGAATAAGCAAGAAGGAACTCTGGCTGGATTGTAATGAACCAACCGGGAACCTATCACCCAACGGATATGCAACAGAAGAGAGTGTAGATGGATTGGGCATACAGTGATGAGGCGGATTGTGAACATCACACGATAGGCCAGTCCATGGAGTTGAATTTAAAGGGGGAAGGACGAGTTGGGCGTCGGAGGCGATGGTGACATGTAGGAGGTAGAAATGAAAGCTCGTGGGCAATGGTGGAGCGAGGTTCACAAGATTGCGGAGGACAGTGTGAAATGAAGACGTGCTACTGAATCCCTATGTTGCACTAGGAACCCAAAGGAAAAAATTAATGGACGAAATATGATTCAGTGACGGAGAGTGTTATAAAAACCATACAAATGTGTAAAATATATATGCAGTATGCAGAAAATAGGCGAATTTGTATACAGAGCTATATGTCCAATAGGAAGCACGATAATACCTGGGGTTAGCGTTTAATCTCATCTGCGTGTATATTTGGAATTTTTTTTGAAAGCCAATATACACGTCTGATATATATATTCTTTACTAAAAATATATTCTAGCGATTATTATGATATCTGTTGCATTACCATAAAAACATGATCAATTTTCATTTGCCGACTTTCTTTCAGCAATTCTTGAAGATACTTATATAACAGGGTGGAATAGCTGGAGAAAAAATGGTGATAAGTATGTTGGGGTGAGTTATAAACTTTTCTGCTGAGTTTTTGTTCAATACTACTAGTAAACGTGATGTCAACAATTATAGCTTAACTATATAAATAGTCATAATCTAACGGTACGAACAAATAAGGCGAAAACAATAACACATGAAACTTAGTTTCAAAGTTGAGTTCATCAATGAAGGTTTACTGTGATATCGAACTGTTTTGGAACACAGAAATGTAGTTCAAACTTGCAAATAGCTAAAGCCTACAAAAACTTAAGGATCTGTTCCCAACATGTTTTGTAAATAGGTCTAGGGGACGTAGAAACATCAACCTTTTAGTCTATCTGAACATGTTTCTTGATCGTAGAACTGGAACGTCTTCCATCAACGTTTGTGCATTCTATTTTCTTATGATGTCACTTTGAAATATGCTCCAAAGCCCTTGGTTTTATGGATCTGTGAATTCTCCCTTTCTAACTTTAAAGTGACTCACTGTTTTATCTTGAAACATTCCATCTTGACGACCTATTTTTGACCTACTAGCCAACAACAGACTTGCTTCCTTATTTGCTGTCAATACAAATACATTTGTATACCTACTGAAAATGATTCGGCAGACAAAGCCAAATGGCAGTTTCATGTACAGAAGTACAACTAGTACTAGCAGTCAATAAGCGTATCTGTGTTCCAAGACATGTCGGGGGGTAACAGTCTAGTCAACACACCAACGATGAATTCCTGAACCTGCTAGATTTTCTCCACTTTTCCTACTTCCGAGGTTCAATCAGGCATCCAGTGATTATAAAGTCTAGGATCTTACGGGTTACGTTCATGAAACTGATTCTGCTTTGACCAACAAATGAAGACGAGATAGTTAGTGTTGAAGTTGATAAGGGAAACCCAACAGTAGTCACGAAGAAGTCAGACTAATTCATAAAAGTCAACTACAAACATGAGCAGGCTTATTTTAAGGGATAAAGAAACTTGCATAAACTGCTAACAGTCAGATGTTATCCATTAATTTTTCTGTGCACCAAATGTAGCCACCCATATGTGATTTAAAACAGCTATATTCAGCTTGAAGGTATCCTGGCCAACAATGGACCGGATGGTTTGAAAAAACTTGGGCACCCAGTTAGCATGATTCATTGTATAGGATGTATTGAGGAATAATACAAAATATTTGTTTATTTTGTTATTTGTTGTAATATACTACGCTGGAATTACACCATCGAAAATACATCCTATACAATGAGCTATATTCAGCGCCTAAAACTAATAATTCCCATATAGTTCAGGTACTTTAAAAGTTAATAGACCAGGCTTTTCGATGGCATTTGTAGATGAAATAACTCAACACATGGGCTATCTAGATATTCAGCGTTGGTGCATACTCGATCGAAAACTATTCAAACTCCAGAATAAGTAGTTCATGTAGAATGAACAGAAGGCACTGTGATGTGCAGATAGCTTAGAATGTGAAACGGATTATCTTTAGTGTAATAGTTTACACACCAATTTGTTGCCTCCAGATGCCAAAAAAGAATCGTTGAATCACCGTAAGGTCACTCAGAATTTGAGTAATGAGTAGTAAAACACCATTCAAAAAATTCAGCTACGTGTCACTTCCATAGTTTTCAATGTTCAGGTTGCAATGTACTTTTAAAAATGGAAAGCGTAAAAATGAGGTCACTAATATGCATTGTTGTGGTGAGCACTTCATTGATACAATGTTTGATTTTACTCTTATGATATTGCAAAAGAACATTGTTTCTTGAAGTATATAAACTCTGTGTTGGATGCGGTTTCAGATGACTAGTTATGTTAGACTGAAAAATAAAACTCAGGCAAGATGACGGTATAGATGCAATTATCTACAGAAAACCGTCGTATTCCAAAAATATCTACACTTTGGATCATCTCGCCTCATGTCATTTGGATGTTTTGGTAGATAAGTTGGAGTCTAAACGTCAGTAAACAATTTAAAAAGTGAAGCTTCTCAATATCCTAAAAATGTATGCAAAAGTTCTGTAGATATTCAAAAAAAAAACTAATGGAGTAAGTATCGATTGCATCATAATTCGGGTGAAAATCTTGTACTACCAAGTGTCGAAAATTCCGTGCAGTGTTCTCAACAAGGTTAATATTAGCGTAACCTTCAAATTTAGTGTTAACTAGGTTGGTCTAGGAATATTTCCAGCCCAATAGGACAAAATAAATTAGTCTAAGAAGTAGCGTCCCAAGGATAATGAAGTCAAGTACAAAGGTTGATCCATTCGATCAGGGTCAGTCAATGTAAGAACTCAGCTAAGTACAGAGTGCTAGATCCCATTAAAAGGAGCAATCTGGAAGAGAATTCAACCATCTTTCACATAAATTAACTCACAACCATCCAATATGGTATAGTACTGCAAACATCCTAAAGAACAATGTAGTTATTTGGAGGGAGAAGATGGTCACCGTATCTCCTTTCATCAATTCACTGCCTAACATGTGGAATAGGAATGATTCAACATCCATTCCACATGCAGAAAATATATATTACCAACAAATGAAGAACTATGAATTAGATTGCTTTTATAATATTATTATCCAAGAACTAATAAATGAAATATATTTTGTAAAATCCCAATGAAGTACAAGATAACCAATACTCTTTCGGGTGCTCTACTCCACCTGAAACATAAAGTTCCTTCTAACTCCACATTAAATTTCGCCTACAAATTAGGTTGTGTCAATAGTGTTACCCATTATATTAGAGAATTATCTCGTGAGATCTTCATTCAGGCTAAGCAACATGCAAATTACACAAAACGACAGCCAAATAATCCTGTAGAATTAAAGAACTTACAAATCAAGTCAACAATCACAGTTCATGCCATCTATTACAGTCACGAAATCCATATTGAAAATCTTAAAATTATTCAAAAAGATTATCGAACTATAAAGAAAAATGAATAGCTGAGGCATTTCACATTATGTTGAATCCCAATGCACTCAGGAGAAGAGAAGAGTTAACAATCCAACCAACATGGACAGCATTTTCAAAAACAGCACATCACATACAATGATAAGTACAAGTGTACATACACGCATTTAAACAGGAATCGACATCCATAACCTTGAACTCCAGACTAATTATGAATAACAAAGATGTTTGGATGATTCATGACTGAAATAACAAAGATGTTTATTATTATTTGTCTCTTGAGTTCCTAGTGCAATATAGGGCTTCAACAACACGTCACCATTTCACTCTCTTCTCCACAGTCTTTCAAAACTGGCCACACGACCGCCCACAAGCTGTCATCTCTTCCTCACACAATCTCATCCATGTCACTCTTACCTCAGACGCCCAACTCATCATCTCCCATTCAGCTTCAACTCGACAGCATAGCCTGGCTTGTCACGTCATATCCCCAAGCAATCTTCTCAGTGTATGTCCAATCCAATCCATCTCCACTCTCTTCGGCTGCATATTTGTTGCGTGATAGGTTGTTGGTTGGTTCATCACCAGCCAGAGTTTCTTCTTGCTTATTCTTATTATTCTGACCATCTTATCTTCCGTGTCAGTATCGAGTGGGTGTTGGTGGCAGCAGTTGATGCTGTATGTCTGCAGTTTGTCGGAAGTACTTTTCGTGACGCACCGACTCTCTCAATCACCACATAGAAGAACTGACTTAGTTAATATTAGTGTTGGAAATCCGGATGTTGTTCACGCTTTATGCTGAGTGTGGTAGATCTGCACACTGATTTCAAGTTGATGAAGGGCTGTCTTGCTGTCTTTCCGATTTTGGTCTCAACGTCGTCATGTGGGCTGTGACGCCTATAGTTGAAATGATACTGTGTAGGTAGTTGAATGAAAGAGATAACTTGGTTTGGATTTGTCTTGTTGATGATGATTGGTGCTTGTTGTTGTTAGTTGGGCATCTTTATCACCTCTGTCTTCTGTATGTTCATTTGATGTCCATCTTCCCTCTTTGCTTCGCCTTTTCTGTCGAGTTGTTGGTTTTCACCTGTAGATCTTCGAGTTCTTGCAACAAGACATTAGCCGTAAATCTTCGTTGGCGAAATCCACATCTTCTTGTAGGGTCTTTTCATCGGTCGAACCGGCGTATACTCATCTTCTCACAGCTCCTGACAGTTGTCTGTTGCATGACTCAGTCCATTGTAGTTAACCACCATTCAATCAAGAAGATCATCGGTGGTAGTAAGCAACCTTGTCTTACTCCTTCCTGTCTTCACTTCAAAGGCATCATTGAGCTTTCATTTGTGAATCATTTGGCATACAGCATCATCATGTAGTCCAATGTGATTTGAGTCGTCAACGAATTCGCTAAGTGTCAGAAATTAATTTTTCTACTTCACTGGGATTTTGCAAATATTGGTTGAGTATTTACCCAATGCTGAATTTATTCAACTCTATCAAATCAAATTTTGATCCTGGAGTTTTTTTACCTACTAACTGATCTACTCCAAAATTACGCTTTAACAAAATGCCAAATTTCTATATTTATTGTGTTGGCTATTAGTTGTCATCCCCCTTTTAACTACAAATATTCTCAATCATTGCAGTGTTGGGCGTTAGTTAATAGCTTTACTCTTATTTTCAATGTCAATTACAAACTTAGTATTGTTTACCTCCAACAGTAAAACATAAGATTATACTTTTAAGACTACTTTTTCATTCTTTTGTTGTATGATCTCTCTAGAATCTGGATTATTTCAGTCAGATCAATTTCTTGAATAATTGACTATATTATATCAGTGAATAGTAGTCTCTTCATTGTACAGGTTGTCTATCACTTAGACACCTTCTATTCTATTCTCTGATAGTGAAAGTATATTTGAATAGTAAAATCTTAAAAAGATTATAGACACCTAAAGAGATTGAAGTGGTTTGAATTAAATAGTAAAATTTTCTAATATAAACTTGATATCTGATAACTGGAAATATTTCATTGTTATTTATTAGTGGAGATATCAAAGTCTTGCTGGAACAGGTCAAATTGTTTATGGTGTATGCGAGAAAACTAATTCATTATTATATGGTCAAGTGAAAGATTCACAGACATCTCATAATTTAACTGGTAATTCTAAGAAGTTAACATCTGTTGAAGAGAAAAATTATCCATTTGAATTTTGGTTATTCAGTCCATTATATAAAGTGGATACAGTTTTGAGTATTCAATTGGAGCTTACTTATCAAATGAAAAGTTGTTTACAATTAGGATATACATATCAGTCTATTGAATGCAGAGAACGTTTAGACATTCTGGTCTATCATACTGATGTACAATTACAATCTACAACAACAAATGTGAGTTATTCAAAAGTATATCAAAGTTTATAAACTGTAAATCTTTTCGAATTTATAAAAATACATCTTCAACTACATTTAACATAACTTTTTTAGTGTTATCGAACAAGAAGTGGTTATCATGGCTCGGTGGTGTAGTGGATAACACTCTGGTGTTTGAAGCGATCGCTCTGGAGTTCCAGTCCCAGTGGGAACAACATCACTCACCGAAAGGGAGACAGGTATATCCAGCTGATGAGTCCTAAATAGGACGAAATGCACATCCTGGATTCCACTGCTAGACACTGCTCATCATTATTATACATAACGTTTGTATATTGTATACTTTCTACTTATGAAAGTATCACCGTGTATTTCTCTTTCTGATTACTAAATTGCATGCGCATTGGATGATATATTTTCAATGAGGTATGAATCAGCATTCTGTATCCCATAGAACTTAAAGCCTCCTGGTAGGGAAACTTTTTTCTTAATCAGGCCAATTGTTTCCACTGACCTTAAACCATTTAACTGATAATTAGATTAGCTTATAAATATTTTTTTTTGATGATATAGGGTAATTATTTGAGTATAATTTAGATTATATCCTTCTAATAGCTTTAGAATATTGTGGCTTTATGTGTAATATTTATCTTCATGAAAATGGAAAACAGAACTTAAGTTCATTTTGTAAGTGAAATGAGTCTTAATTTTATTATCTAATCCAATTAATTATGAATAGCTTACTTTTAATAATATTATTATGAATACTCGGTAGAAGTATTTGGATAAAATCCTACCATACTGTAGACTATGATATGAATTTCATGATATAAATGTAATCAGTGAATAAGTAGTGGTAACGGTAGTTTCTAGCTGATAAGCGAATTGCATAGGCACTACGGTCTCATAGAAGGGATACCGTGGTTGAAATATATTAGTAATTGAGTCTTCAGTCTTAGTACTGAACTATAGTAACCCGAATCTTTGAAAAAGTATCACGTACGTAAAAGTTGTATCTTCACCCCAGTAGCAAAAATAACTTGACTCCAAGGTTTCTTGCTTCTCAACTCCTCACACTCATTGTATTGCATTGTAGGAAAAGACGAGACATGATTGCAGCAAATATAAAATTTTCTTCCCGACAAAATCATTTATTAAGCTGTACATTTGTGAACATATGCTACGGTGGGCTGAACGTTCCAGAGTGATTTCCGGTTAGAGGGCAACTAAAGAAGGTTAATTAATACACATTTGGGTTTAGAAAGGGATTATGGAAACACATCTATAGTTATGTAATATAGAGGTGAATCTCTGACAGTCAAGACTTCATGATAGCCATGGCAAAGATAAATGTTGGATGTACCTTTTTTGGACGCATAACGCTAGTTTGAACTTCTGGATGGCTAGTGCTTCAGCCGTAGAGAAATGCCTTGATCTTACTGCCTTCGGGTGGTTTGAACGAACCCTGTAGAGAATTTTGAATGCGCTCTCAAAAGGAGCTAAGTGTTCTGTTATTCAGCTGAAGATACATTTCAGGTCCCTTTTGAAGACCAGGGTGGCTAGTGTTCACGGGCATGTCTTACAAGCGGACGCATGGTACAGCACATGTACTCAGCTCAACAAGAGCAAGTAAACTGGTGTATACACATTAATTTGACCCAATTTGTTGGCTTGTCTTTCACAAACTGACCAAAATGTTTCTTGCAGGGCAAAATAATTCGAAGGTTGGCGGCAAAGTATGTTCTATTTAAGGATTTTGAAAGTCGTTTCCTGGGGATATCTGCAGCAATATCACTACTGAATTCAAGATTCAACAAAAGAATCTTTTTCAATGTCAAATGTGTTCGCTCAGTTGGATTCTTCACCTTTAGGTTCTTATCTATGAGTCTGAGCTGGAAACCGTTTTCCGCTAGAGTTCGTCGAACTGTTTGTAGTTCTCTGTCAACAGCGTACGTACTGCATTGCTTCATCTCTTTGATGAGAGGCGGAGTTGTAAACATTTTAGACACATATAGGTTACTACTTGGAACTTGAGATTGATTTGATATATGTGTTAACTAACGATGACAAATTCTTGTGATTGGTAAGCGTTTTGAACATCTTTCAACTCCTTTCACTTGAAAGCAATCTCGTACCAAGTGTTAGAAATGATTAAATAGTTGGTAACAGAAAATACTTCAAAAAGTTCATAACATAAGTTTTTTCTTGAAGTTGAATACTTGCTTTTGAGATACTATTCTGACGATGATTATAGAAAAGTAGATATATTCATGTTAATTGTAAGAGTTGTTGCTGTGGTGCTTTCTGCTACCTCGCTGTTTTCCTGAGTGGTGGACTACCCGTACTTTGTCGCCACTACTCCTGTTCTCGTGTTAATAACTGTGCTCACTGCTTTCAAAAAATCAGCACCTAGGATTGTCCATTGTAGATGCGGGGTGACAATGAAGGGAAATCTAATTTTCCGACTTCCGATCTTGGCGACACAATCTGATAAGCCTGCGGTTTCTGCTGCATGACCCCTAACCGTGTGGACTGTTAGCATACATGGTCTTATGTTCTTAGATTGACTCATATCTGTCAGCGAGACTGTCGCCCTGGTGTCACTTTGATACACGATCTCCCGATCATTTAACCTAACTCTAGTATACAAAGAACCTGTGTCTATGGTTCCTACGACATCTAGTCTAGTCGGAAAAACAGAACTCATATTATATCGTTCAAAATATTTTCTTTTTCGCCTCTCCGGATATTTTCTTCGCCAGTGTCTCAGTATTCCATATGCAAATAATATATTTCTTCTGTTGATATTTATTCGAAGTGCAGCCACCTCCTCCCGAAGGTTATTGACTTGTTTTTTTCAGTTGTTTATTTACCTCTTATGACTCCACCGCATTTGCTGCTGTACCCATTAGCTTTCTGGTAACCTTCACCAGCTCACTGATATCCATGGGTCCGGCTGCGTTCACTAGTCGTAGCTGCTGGGCAATGGCATTCGGGACACTTTTGATGAGCTGTGCAACCAGCAGCTACTCCTAGGAGTCCTCATCCAAAGGGGGAAGTGCTCATCAAAGTAGTTTAGTCAACCTCACAGACGATACCAGCGGATCTTTGTCTTGTCTAAGTTTCATGCTCCGGAAATGCTGAATCGCAAGCTCCCTGTCAGCTGGGCTGTCAAACTCCACTTCCAGGCGTCCAACTATTCTCTGCAAAGTCTCCTTCCCATTCATATATTCCACGCAGTCATATACTGCTTTGACTGTACCTCTCAGCAAAGTGCCAAGCACTAAGATCTTCGTTCCTGGATCTCGGACACCTACCAACTCCTCGACCAACTCGAAGTCCCCGAAGAACACTTTGATGTCTACACCCTCGAATGCTGCAGGCCATGGAATCTTTATCACATCCAGAAGCAGTGACAACAGTTGTGGGAAGCAACAAGACTGAGACACAGGAGGGAATGTTTATTATCGACATTTTGAACAATAATAATTATAATAACCATAATAATCGCTTTATTCCAAACAATATGCATGACAGTATGGAATTCTTAGCATATAATTTTTCAACAAATTTACTCTCAGAACAATACTTTCAAACGAAATGGTTATTGCATCCGAATGATGTTAATAATAACAGTATTCAAGGCAATAACGTGGGATAGGCAGCTGGTTCTGGATGGGCATCTGGTCCATAATGAAGAATCAACAGAAATGCAATCGAAATTTTGGTAGTGACTGCCTATTCATATGGTATAAAAATCTGCAACTCAAGCTAAGCATCTGACAGATAAAAATATGACGTACCTTTTTGCACCGAAAAATCCATTTTCATTTAACGTAATATTTTTTTCTCTGCTTTGTTATTGACTTGAGAAACGTAGAGTTGGAAACAGTTTAAAAATGTGCAAGAGTAGATGAAAAGTTCAAAGAAAATATTTAAATGATTAAAACAAATTGAAAAGAAAGAGTTTGATTAAAAATGTTTGATGGTTAAATTTGGTAGCCCAAGGTTCAAGCAGGCATCCATCTTGTACGGTAATGATGAAATATTATACACATTCCAATAAAACACTTTCAAAATGTGCTTCATTTACTCTTCTGCTTCTATCTTGACTTGCTATTAATACACTCACATTGTCTCTTGTGGTCCTGTGGACATAATCTTTACCTATCTCTGATAAACACCTATGATTTCTGCCACCCTCTAAATTATTATTATTTGTTTCTTGAGTTCCTAGTGCAACATAGGGATTCAGTAGCACGTCTCCATTCCACTCTCTCCTCTGCAATCTCTGCAACCTGATTCCACGACAGCCCACAAGCTCTCATTTCTTTCTCACATGATCTCCTCCATGTCACCCTCACCTCGAACATCCAACTCACCATTTCCCATCTGGGTTCCTCTCGAGTGCCTGGTGCGTGATATCCCCGAATGGTCTTCTCGGTGCATGTCCAATTCATCTCCACTTCCTTCTGGACGAGAAGGACGATAGGCTTGACTTCATATGAAATAAGTGTTGAAAATCCGGATTTCGTTCACGCTTTATGCTGCGTTGAGTGCAGTAGATCTACACACTGATTTCAAATTAATGAATGCCTGTCTTGCTGTCTTTCCCATCCTGACTACTTTCACATCCTCGTCTGTGACTGTGCCACCACCATTTGTAGTTGAAACGATGCAGTCTTGTCTAGGTATGTGAATGAGACTACTTCCTTTCCCCCGTTGATGGTGATTGGAGCTTGTCGTTGTTTTTGTTGGTTGGGTATCTTCATCACCTCTACCTCTATCTTCTCTACGTTCACTTGAAGTCCCGTCTTCATTCGCGGCCTCGTCTCTTCTGTCAACTTGTTAGCTTTCGCCTGTGGATCTTCGAGTTTGTGCAACAAGACATTAGACATAAATCCTCATCGGCAAAATCCAAATCTTCTTGTGGGATCTTTTCTCCGGTTCAGCGTATCCTCTTCTTCTTGTTCCACACAGTTTGTTGCATGATCATGGATGATAGTAGACAGACTTGT